CGTAACACAACACGTACGCTGAATTGCCTAGAATATGCGTTTATTAGTCCTTGAGGCGGCGTCAATCTTGAATAGTAGCCCTATGTATACCTCGTACGTTCGTGCCCTCAACACAGTTTTCTTACGCGGTCTTACCTGGCTGCGTTCTTCTGTGTATCGCTTACGGTAACCACTCTCTACGAGCGTTTTAGTGATTCGCTCAACTTCTTTAACCATTCACTCGTTCGAGCAGATACATCTGGCGTGAATGAACAGTGTTTTCTCCAGCGCACTTGCTTGTATGCTATCGGTGAGAAGTTGCTGAAGTGCATGTGTTGCTCTGGCCATGTTATCTTCCGATATACAGATCGCTTAATGTGCCCATTATCACTGCGACTCGTGCGAATGTCAAGCTGCACAAGACGTCCATTCGATTCGAATTCAAGAGTCACCTTCGGGTTGTCGTGAACTGCTAAGTTGGTCTACTAGTCGTTCGATTTGCATCCTCGTAGAACCGAAAGCAATGATGTCATCTGCATATCGTTTGTAATACGGCAAATGAAAAATCCCTCTACTTTGGTTTCCTTTTAAGCATCAACATGAAAAAATCAGCCAGTACCGGTCCCAACGCACTACCACATCTACTTCATCCGTTTTCCTCCGGTTACCATCGTTTCATCTTCGGACTGTGACTTTGAACCCATCGACTTGGAAATGCTGAGAGTATCACTAGATTGACTTGCGGTTGCTGACATAAGCTGTCCACTGGTTGATCTAGCAATTCGAACTCATGCATCCAGTCGAGACCCAGAAGATTTAACCCCGGCTTGTCTGTCACGAAACAAGTTGTGCAGATATTTTGATCACGAAATTCGATTTGACAGTTCAACGGACCAATCAACTTTAACATACGTGCCGACACATTCTGTACTGTTTGACATGTTTGTATCAGTGCCGGACGCCCGAGCGTGCACCACGTATCACCGGAAATCCGGGTTGCACCTGAAGCGGTATCCAACTGCAACCCGACTTGAATGCCATTGATCTCCACGGTCGTATACTTACGTCTGATGGGTCCATCAACTTGAGAAGTCGCAGTGACAGATCTGGTTATATTGGGGCGTCTGGGCGGTAAGGCATTGTCTCGCTTATTTTCTGATCAAGATGGGATGACTTACCAGACAACACGACTCTTTGTGCCTCTGTTTACCACGGCGATTGCAAATGTGATTTCTGAATCGGCAGTTCCGGTCAGAGTGCCATTCTCTTCAAAACTAACAAGCAGAGGGAGGTATGGAATCTAAAGCACGCACATGAGCTGATTCATCTTGGGGACTGCAATTCACTGCACAGACCAGGTCGTGATTGTTGCGGTTGGACAGCTGCTGAATCATTGACGTATCATGCTTCAGATTGGTCATTCTTTGGCATTCACCGGTTATCTGCTGCAGCGTTACATCAAGGTTCTGTTCCATCTTGTTCAGATGTCTGCATCTTTGGCTGCTTTTAGACTGCAAACGTAAATGTGGCACTTGTCCTGGTTGGCGGTGATCTTATAAAACTGTGAACCTTCGTACTCTTGATTTACATGGCTCGAGGAGGTGACACATTCTTCGTCATCTTTCTAGTAAGACGCTTGTACCAGATGTTGAACAAAGCCGTCTGCTCATCAAGAATTTGTGACAAGACTGAGACAGTGCTCTTCTTTGGCAAGATGAACTTTGTAAACTTTTCATGTTCAGCCGTACTCAGCTTCGGGAGCATCAGGCGAATTTTCTTCATTTCTGGTACATTTGCGAAATTAACACGAAACATGTCTGTATACTTGTGAAACCAGGAAGCGAATGTCACGCTAGCATCCGCATCATAATGGAATTCACTTATCTGCTATGTCAGGGTTTTTGGAAAGGGAACATTTCCACTTGCCCCTAACCCTGGGCTTGACTGTATCTACACTTTCTGCGTCAACAACTCAATGAGCTTGGACTGCTGCTACAAAAGGGTCTGCAATAGTTCGAAGATGGCTGCCATTTCTGGGTTCGATTGACGTTCGTGTCGCCACTGTTGTAACGCTGTTTTTCCCTCTGCTCACTGCCGCGCCAACCCAGCCGAGGCAAATCAGAACACCGAGCCTGCTAGATGGAAGTATATCACGCACAGGATATGGTTACTTTTATAGGTCACATGCGCTTATCTCGCTGCTATCACTGAGGTGACTCACATCTCTTGTCTGGGCAGATTCGACCTTGGTAGCGGCCTTGACTGTCCGGCTATAGGTACTATCACGTCGGCCTCATAGCAACCATGTGATGATGGCGATTTGGTTTCATCAGCTTCCGGCGTGACTCAGCTTTGTTACAATCGGTCGGGTAGCAACCCGTATCATTCAGACAGACGTCTCGAAATCGTGTCACGTTCTGCGGCCTGCTAGAGTGCACCATCATGGTCAGCCGTCTCTCTTCCGTGACAGTGTGACACTTTATCGGTTCTGTAACTCGTCGACTAGCTCATCTTGCGGAACATTTTTAAAGTGCAGTCTGACAGGTATGCTGCAACTATGCCGCTTTTTGAATCACCTGCTCCGATGTAGGAATTTGATGTAACATTGCATCTTGAAAGGGATACGACCTGAAATCGCTGCGTTGAATAGAAACTTGTCAATGTTCGACACGATTTGAGACACACTAAAGAGGTGCATCCATTCTTGCGAATGTCATCTATCTTGACTATCTTCAGAAAGATTCGACGGAATTTATGCGAATACTATCGAGGCATCAACCTCTCCATTGCTTCTAAACTTCTCTCGGGTATCAATCTTCGGAGACTTATTGGTTCTCGTGAGAGCCGAATTATCGAAAAGCTTGCTAACTTTCGTTCCCATCTTGGCTGCATTGCACACTTATTTACCCTTCTTCAAATATCGGATCAGTGGCACAATTAAAGGCGACAAACTATGATGATTTTTTCATGATCTGAAAGCCTTCTTTTTGGTCAAGTCAGGCTATGGCGCTGCCTATCCGTGAAGGGGATGTCTGGAAAACGCCTTTCCTTTCTAAAATCTTTTTACCGTAACTCCGAGTGGGGCTCTACAGGAAGCTATCTCAGAAGTTCACCACGACAAGCTAGGTTCGCTAGGGTTGTCCCGAATTTTCTTTCGTCCACTCTTGTGGTCGAAAAGATCATAAATGACTCCGTTCTTTCAGATTCTTCTGGAGTGGGATTTCTGCCAGTTGACTAACTGACAAATCGTGAGTATGCGCGCGTCACAGCTGTCCTTGGTTCTGACTCCGTGGCTATAGAAACGTTACTGAGTAGGCTGATGTGTGGTACTGCACGTTTCGGCATGTGCTTCGCATCTTCAGAATGCATGGTATTATGGTTGGACGGTGCCGAGAATCCACCGATTCTTGCTATCAGCGTACATCCACTGAAAGTGGTTGCTCGGTTCAGCCTCCTACGTCTAATCGCCTACAACTTGCTCAATTGAACGTTCTTTCCTTTGCTTTACCAAGGTAACGTATATCTGGAGTTGGTAATGGTAAACTGGCAACTTCTGACTACAAAACCGAGTGCTCATTTTGCCTCGTTTTGCTTTCCCAACCGCTATATACGTTAATCTTGCTCTGCTTGGCTCCGGATGTTACAGCATTTGGCTTGTAATTACACCAGTGGTATACCTGCAGTTTTGTTTCATTTTGACTGTTTCTTTGGCGTGTATAGTGTTGACCTATCCGTGGAGTCTGTTCATTGGGATACCGGACGGTTAGATGCGAATGCACTCTGTTCTATCAGTTTCACACGTTCCCATACCTTGCCAGCTGTTTTGGACTTTGTTGTTTTATCAGTAGCGTCGTTATCGTTGCGTGGCTTTGTGGTTTAAGTCCAAAATTCCGCCGGTCAAATGACTGAAGATTCTTTTTCACCCGTTGCTTTGACTCATACAGCTTTTCAAATCCTCGACCACTTGTGTACACGGCTTGCGGCACTGCCAGTGCTGCTAGTGTTATGTACTGTTCAGAGAACTAATCCTTGCGTACAACTGACGTTGAGAGACCGAATTGTTTTGATCCGTACTGCCTGTGCAATGTCCATCACATCTGCTGGGTGAGGCGAGTGAGTACTACAGAAGTTCGTAATGAGGCGTTTAGCAACAATTTCTTCGCTATTGGGCTGGTGTAGTTTTCATTGACTTGGTCGTGTGCAGTGCACGCTTGCCAGTCGCCATCTAATGGTCTAAGGGGACACAGACCCTAACGGAATCCATTGGTACAACTTCTAGCGACCTAACTCGAAGTTGCTTGGCCACTCTCGTGGTTGTGACTCTAGCTCAGCCAATCACATTTCGTCACAGTGGTTCAAGGTCACTCAGCGGAGGTGTTCTATAAGCGGATTAAATCGTGTCCAGTGTATTTCTTGTTTTCTCTTGTCGTAAGGAACTTTTCGTTTTCAGCGTCATTCGACTTTTGTTTTGAGTCGAGCGTTTGAGCTTAGAAGTTGGAGCGTTCTCAACTCCGTGCCTCATTGAAGTGATTGCTAATTTCAGGTCATCTTGGTTGGCTTTGTCATGTGCTCCGCGTGCTTGCCACTCGGCTGCCTTAGCATGCATATTGAAGAAAATCACATAAAGGTTGGGTCAAGCTGGCGCTTCTACTTTTCCCGGACACAGATTCCTCTGGGCTCGTCACAACAGTGTTTGGACACTTACGGGTGCGTTACCGTCACGAGATCAGTGACACTCCTGTATCCTTTCCCTCAACTTGTACTCTTGACTATCCTATCTGAAGATTAGGATTCTTCTTATCATCCTCATCATCATTGTTCTGTCAACGTCTATCAAAGCAATTGTGTGCGTCGCATCTAATGTACTGATCATGGTGAGGTCTTAAATTGCCATGGATTCGAATGCGAATCCAGGGGTGTTAGGCGCCACCACTATCTTCAGTGTATTTGTCATTTTTGAACACCTTAGAAACATTTTATCATTCACCATGTCTTTCCTGTTTGGTCCTCTCCCCTGTCAGTACGCTGGATCTTTGGCCAGAAGTGCTCAAATACGTCTACGAGGTGGAGACGTGCATTGGTGTTCGTGAATGGCGTGGAATCGGTGAGACTTGGCAATGGCAAGGCGGAACCGGTTGGCAAGGTTCAGGTAAGACCGTTGTGAACACTGGGACCAATCGACCTCAGTCCTGCTTTCCGTCACCTAATCTGAATGGACCACCGTCCAGCACACATTTGTCAGTGCCTGCTTTGGGCAGTTCACCTTATTTCGGCCGTCCAGATTGGCACTGGCTTTGGGGTGCGAAGCTCGGCTATACGCCAAGGGACCTATGTGGTTGAACATCGGTTCTTTGTCATTTGCACGGTGCGCACCAAAGCACCAAATGTATCTACTATTTTCCCGCTTATCCCCATGTGCGCCGTCGAACTATCATTGCATGCTATTTGAATGAGAGTTGCCTAGCCCTTCTTTTTATTATCTTCAGTGTGGAACATACATTTCTTTTGTGTTTTTAACACAGCTCATCAGCTTCATCCACATTTGCTCATGATGTTGTTTTTTCCCTGGACTACTTTCGACTTGCGAGTTTGGCATCAACTGGAACTTGAACTGAGCCTTATCTCCATTCTTTTTGCCCCCCTACGTTAAACACATTCCTACTTCATCGATTCGTACCATACGTGTATCTGTCTGTCTTATTTTCTAAATAGAGCTGGTCAACCAAGTGCTACTCTTCTGCGTATGTCTTTGGCAAACGCACCAATTCGTTTGCTTCCTTGCTACAGTGGCCGATTGGTCTGCGCGCCTGATTTTCAATCATAAGGTCACCGGTTAGAATCCGCGTAGGGTTGGGCGTCTTCACCGTATACTCAGCCCACGCGCGACTGGTGCTGGTCGCATGGCAGCGAAGCGCCGTTACCGTCTACAGTTTGCGATTCGTCTTTTATTACTAATGAGTAGGTTTTTTAAATTGTAATGTGTTCATCCCAGCTGCTCACGAGCTACGTAGCACAGCCTAATCCGGAAAAGCACCAGACGCGTTTCGCTCTATTGGGTCTCGTCCTTGGTGCGTATTCCCTCGGTCCCTTTCTGGGGATCGAACCCATAACTGCTAGAGGTAGATGCCAACTATCTAGCAGCTTAAGCCACTGAGCCATGGGGGACGTCAGCTGGGCTACACAATTTGCAATATAGCACGACCTATCTTCCACTGCCACGCAGGTTACTACCTTAGCAGATGACAGTGGCTAGCCTCCGAAGGTCATGACTTCCTTACACTAGATGTTACATCCATATCATTTGAAACTCGGAGAGGCAAAATGTAGCTTGTGAGCAGCTGGGATGAAAACATTACACTTATTTTTTAGTTTTGGATACCGTTTACTTTTGTCATGCGTAGTTATCGTACAAGCTCCCTGGTTGAACGACCTTCGTTCATGGCATAGTTCTCTCCCACCAGATACTAGCATTACTCTCTAGTCGCTTTGCAGCGAATTGTTCTTTAATTGGATCCATAGTCGGCACTTCCTCGCAAAAATTATTTATGGGTGCTGGGAGAAATTTTGGTTTATGCTTGGACGGTGTCTTCGTAGTCCCTAACAGTTTACTAGCGTCGTAACATGATCAAATCGTTTCACTGAGGCTTTTCTGGACCATCTGCCTTAACTGCTAGAGGATCTTTTGCTGTTAACACTGCCTAACCGTCCCTACCACCAGTGTACGTTTGTCCAATCTCCATATGCGCCATTGTTCCCCATCCACGCATCCCGTCATCAAGCTACACAATGCTTCACCAACATTTTACAACAATCTATGGCTTATCATCGCTGGAACATCTCAATTCCTACTTCCAGCTATTCAAGATAAAACACAAAAGCCACCGTTTATTGTCCCTCCCACGGAGTGTGTGAAGATCCGCAATATGTTCTCAGCAGAGTGAGTCTAACTGCAATGGTTTTCGTACGTTCTCAGTATCATTGTGCCTCTTCGCAAGGTGCACCGACTCTGTGTGTTGCTTCAGTGCAATCTGCCGTGTGGCCATATTCCATGTATCATCTTTTTGAGCTCTCTTTATCTTGCAGATATTCTATCTCGGAACCTCCGTATGACTCAGCCGAAGTTCATGCTAGTCCTCCCTTATTGGAACCATAAGGTTGCATATTATTACTTAAACGGCTTCTACGATAGGTCCTACGCACCGGTACTGCAGGTTTGCTGTTCGCACTACGAATGACGCGAGCCTGAGGACGGTGCTGCGGCACAGTGTGCTAACAGTTTCTCCCTTCTCATCGCTACTTATTCATTTGTGGGTTGAATTTTCCGCCTTTCTTCCAACTTCCTTATGGGACTTAAAAACATCCTCGATTTATGTTTTAGAACAGACACATGCATCACCTGGCGGGCGTATCTGCCTGCTCATTTGGCTAACGAAAACAGCTACCAATCAGGGCAATCAACCTAACTGTTCTGAGCCAGGAACATTGACAATGGGATCGCCTCTGGATCCGCTTCTAGTAGATATCTACATGGGAATGCTGGATAGTGGTCCATGAAGACTAATTATCTCTAGTTTAAAGTACTACAGATGATATGTCGATGATGTATTCTGTATGAATGACCGGGAAACGAATTTGCAGGGCATAATCGATGGTTTCAACAAAACCCATCCCAATGCTGCTTTCACAGCTGAAGAAGAAAATAGTGATCAGATGAATTTCTTGTACGTGAGCTTGAAAAGACGAAATTATACAGGAAGCTTTACTGGACAGGCCAGCACACGAATTTCCACAGTTTCGTTTCTTTTAAGCCGCAAGAGGACACTGGTGCGCACCTTGACTGACCGCCCATACAAACTCTGCAGTGACGGCCTCTTCGAAGAAGAACTTGATCGCATCAAAGGAGAACTTCTCGTGAATGGATATCCTTGGCGCTTCATGAACACCCACATGAAGCAGAGGAGTCCAAAATTACGAACACAGACTGTCGAAAAGAAGCGAATGTTTCTGACTCGATCCTTCAAGGGAAACAATGTCGCAGACATCTGCACGCGTAGACTGAGACAATGCTGCGAAAAGACTTTTAACACAGCCGACTTGAAGGTAGTATGCACGGACAAACCACTAATTATTCAGAGATTCAAATACCGAGTGCCAGATCAACTCCAATCAATGGTAATTTACCTGTTCCTGTGGGTCCAGGTACATTGGACATACTACCCAAGCACTTAGGTCAGAGAATCAAGGAACATCTCCCGAGTTGGCTCAACAACCACAAAGATGGGACATTTTGCAGCTCAATAACAGATCACATTCTCAACACCAGTCATTATGTAAACAAATAAACGGATTTCAAGATCATATACAAGGTACCAACAACATATAGCTATGGATTGAGAGCGTGGTTGCTTGCTATCGCGGAGGCGGTATGCATACGGATAATAAAACCCGATCTATGCGTGCAAAAGCAAATGGTGCAGTCGTTGAAACTACCATGACCAACCACCGGATGTGGAGAATGCGGACATAGGCAGCCACACCACGAGGTTTCAATCACATGATCATCGATTTGGCACTTTGATCACTTTAAATTAGCAATCAGTTGCTTCTTTATTCTTTTTTCCTAATGAAAACCTAACAGTGTACTTACGCTTAATAATATATGCGTCTGAAGTAATTGAAAACAATTGTTTGCGTATAGCTCACCACTTTCTTATTCTCTCTGGAAGACGGTATATGGGCATCTTACTTGACTTGAACCATAAATATCCGTGGGCTTTCAGACCACTTGTACTGTTTTTCGGTAGCTACTCTACAATATGGTTTTGCTTCGAGTCGTTGACTTCCGACTAGCTATGATTGGCACTTGCAGAACCGAGTTCAGTTCAACCGGGATCGCAGTGAGCTTTAACAAAATTGCGCCTAAAATCCTGCTACTCACGAGTAGTATAAGATTAAATTTCATTTGCTCATGAATGCTCATGATTTCTGATTCACGAAGGGCACATGACCCGTTGGTGTATGTATTGTATTTAACGTTTGCCCAATAAAAATTTGGCGGAGTGCCACAACACATGAGTGGCAATAGCAAAGAGGAGTCAGAAGAGGGGATGCAAAGTCTCATGTGCTGTTTGGGCAGAGACTTTCCCGGTTGCCCGGGCGGAGGAAGAGGGTTAAGGCTTCCCCCCGAGCCTTTGGTCTTAAAGACCTGACCCGCAAGGCAGAGGGACAATTAACGGAGACCGTTGACAGCCAGGTGGCTCATTCGCCTTCTTTGTATTCAGTAGCAGTCCACAAAGAAGCCGGTGGCCGGCCAGGTTGTTCATCCGCCCTCCGTCAGATACTCAGCTCCAGTTACAGAAGTGAGTGGTCGGTGACCCTATAGCCGGTCACATTGGCTTCGACACAGCGCCGTACGAGCTGTTGTGGTATTTGATGGAGAATCAGATGACCAGCCCAGAACTCCCCACGCTTTGAGACGCTGCAGCTGATTGTCCGCGACTGCTTATTCATCTCGCTTGCAAAGCAGACGAGACTTATTCGCAGTTACGTCCACAAGGGAGGCATTCCCCGATCCGCAACCTGTGGACGCTCCTGATAGCATACAGCATCGCCACGTTGATGTCGAAAACATTGCCTGTCGTGACTCGGTGACTTAGAGGTACAAGTTTTGACTGATTTTCTTAAAGGTCCCGGGTTCGAATACAGGCCTGTTGCCTCTACCTGGTGAGTACAAACGACTACGAAACCATTCGCTTGTAACACCGGATATTTATCCACAACACTTTTGTCCCAGCGTCTTCCACATTAACAACAAGCACTTCTATCGCAACAACCCAGCATGGATGCCGGGCGTCTTTCATTTAGCCCTGTCCATCGCCATCGTTATGCATACTCTCCTCGAGCTATTTCGCTTACCATTGTGTGAGCTAATCAAGCCTGACACCCTAACTGGAACCTTCGTTTTCTTCTCGTTCCACAATCATTTACTAATGTGACACCTTGGTTTATTCATCGCTTCCTCTGTGCTCTCTCATCGCAGGAACCTTGACGAACGAAGCAAACGCCGGATTAAAAGGGAACTTTTAAAGAAACTGATCAACTGCGGTCCAATCGTACACATTGGACTCGATTGCGTTGGCCCTAAAGTAATTCATTCTGCTTGATGTTCTAACTGACCAGTGAACACAAGTCATTGTTTAGAGCTTTGCGACACATGCCCGCTCCCATTTCTACATCCACTACCTAACGTACATTGTTTCCCAACCACACAGGGTTTGGTATATGTGAAGTGCGCCGATCCTGAGACCGCTGGTCAAGTGTATCGTGCAGTACATGTGAATTATTTCGATGGTGAGTGTTCTCTCTGTCACTAATGTTTTTCTTTGCATCATGTCACACTGTACTAGATGTGCGCGCTCCACTTATTGGTGTCGCTTTCAATGTCAATAAGAGATTAGATGCCCTACTATTTCTCTGTTTTTTTCCGGTTCGTCCACTCATCACTTATGGGACAGTCTAAAGCGACCCCTGGTGGATCCGTGCACCTAGACGAGATAGATTCAGGTGTAATGACATATATGACTGACATAACAATAACAGTTGCTATTATGCTTATAATGACAATTCATGAGAAACGAACAAGGGGTCGTTGTGTTCCGTAAGTAAAAGAACATCTGCTGTGGTACCTTAGTTAAACAACCCTCATGCGTTTGGAAGCGCGTTCCACGCTCGTTGCCTTTCATTCTGATGCATCAGTAGCACTTTTTCCCCAAATTCTCTCGGATTAGAGTTCGCGACTATTCTCTCACTAAGCGCTGAGTTAAACCAGTTAATCATGATGGAACCAGGACAATCCTCATTGCTCAACCACTGACTTCGAAGACACTTAAAATTTCCCTTCTACTTGTTTACCATTAGTACTTACCTCTGTAGGCAGAGTTGTTATGTCTGACCACCTCACAGCTCTACTGGTCTGCAAACGTCTTTTTTAAATGTTATAAGGTATACTTTTGTTCGGAGCCTACCTCTAGCGTTACGTCTGAGTTTCTTCCTTGCACACATCCCTCTGTGGATTTCGTGCATTCTCTCTGTACCTGTTCTTGGATCTAGTCCCCTTTATAATTTGGTAGTCGGCCCGTTGCCTTAAGGGTCACAAGCGTGCCTTGAAATTTGAGGGCGCGAGTTCGAGCCTGCGTAGGGACCGCGCGACCATCGCAGTATCCTTAGCTCACGTGCGACTGATTAGTGGTTGCGCGGCAGCGAAGCGTCGGTACTGCGCACCGGCGTACTATTGGTCGCCATTATCACCAAAGCAAGTCGAGCCTTACGACGAACTCGATCTGTTTACAAAGAATGGGTTTCAGTCGTCTGAATGATGAGACCTCCGCGAACTGGAGTGGGTGGGCGGCGCTCTGTCAGCTTTTCACGCAGGGGATAGTCAAGTATGTGTCGGACGATCCAGTTGACGGACAGCTTCTGACAATTCGCGACCAGATTTTGCGAATTATGCTCTAAAATCCTTGTGGACAATCTCCTCGCCGTTACCTCTTGTTTGTCTGTGTATGCAACCTAGCCATTACGTTCCTTGTATCTAAACAGCTGACAAGAATACGCGAAATGTATTCAGAGTATTCTGTTGAAATGTTTTTTTTTCATTTTGAGTTATGTGTGAGGAAAGTCTTGCATGGGAATTGCCTATTGTTGCGCTAATCTACCATTATGCTTTAGTAGCTTTGGTATTTTTGCTACTTGTTCCATACTATTCCTTTGCTCATGTTTCTCCCAATAGGCCGCCTATTAACCGTGAAATTTCTTCGCGATACCAAATATTGTCTTCGCTTTCCCGAAGCACACGGAGCCAGGCAGCCGTTGAGCGTCACCGACTTTGAATGAACCGGAAAATCCTCACAGCCTCAGATACGTGCATCTTTTGTACACACGTCGTCTAATGCTATCTGGCCCTCCAATTGCCCATCTACTCTTTGCAGTCTTGTCTCTTTTTATACTCATGCTCGTGAAATGCAACATCATGTTACCGTAGAGTCGTACGAGTGTAAAAAGAGACAAGTTTACACCGGATATATGGGTAATTGTGGAATCAGAGAGCGCACGCATCTGACAATAAAGAAACTTGAACGTATTCCGCATTTGTTTAGCTCTCCTTCCGTGTGGTTCAATTGCTATCTCTGTATCTATCCATATATACAATAATACACATTTGCTGTTTGTATCAACCGATTTCTGCCCGTTTCACTCACATTTGCCGGGGGGGGGTCACACTCTTACAGTCAGACAATACGTTTACTTAAATAATTCTTGTTTGCGTATGCGCTTTATAATCTGGGAATTTGATCCAATAGCTCTTCTTGTGTTTCACGTAATACACCGTTCGGATCTTCCAGTTTGATCTACAAAACAAGTGAGGAAGGAAGTCACATTCACTTGAAAGTCGCGTCAGCGCATCTACACATTTTATGCAATCATCTGAAACCCAAATATATATGACTATTGTCCATATAAGGTAATGTCAAAAGCCACCATACCCCGACCCAGTGAATCGAGGTCACTGTCGCTGTGCTTAATACGAGCATTTTGCCTTTCAGTTTTGAATATCTCACATCTTTAGCTTTTCAACCACCGCCATAAACACGGCATTCTTTTTCCAGTACAGAAAGCCGGAGTGAACGATGCAGCTGAGAGGCGAATGTGCGTGTGGCTCTTTGATTGAGTTGGATTTAATCATAATTCCTTCGGTATATCTCAGTTTCTCCTTGATGCTTCCCAGTTTATCACAAGAGTTCTCTTATGAAAAGCGTATCTAACCGGTTCGGCGTTTAATATCACTCGACCTAGTTTTCGTTGAGAATGAGCAATAGTTTGGTTCTAAGAAACGCCCACACTACTCGGTCGACTGAGAACCTACTCATATACATTTCTGTTGTGTTACTCATGCAAAAACCACAGAATTGTTGTGTGTGTGTGGTGACCACCAATTCCACCTTTGCCGCTTTCTATTCTTTTAGTGGTGTTTCATAGAACGACTGAGTCTGCAACCCAACCATTTTTCTAATGCTTACCAACCACTGCGTACCCGATCATTCATCCCTGTCTTGTCGTACGTAAGCAACAACAATGGATCAACCATTTGAACTGATGCTTCGTTGCCGTAAAACCATGATGATGCAAACTGAAGGTCAATAAAAGGGAGAGAATAGGCAACTGGCATAAAGCCTAAAAGCCTAGAGTGGGCATTCAGAATCAAGGCGTCTACTTCTTGTCAACAACATGCACCACAAACAGGTGCAAGGATAGCTTCCTCCTGGTATTCACTGCCCCGCGTCATATTCATCCATTACCGCGTAGGTAACTTAGCACCAACCAGACTAAACGGACAATCCGACTAGGAAACGGCAGCAGACACGTCACTGGTGTCGACTGCGACCCATGTCCTTTAACGTCTCGAGCCAAGCACAAGGGGAGTCACGTGGACTGCAGCCCGGAAGGCGAGACGAACCAATGGCACCCAGTTTGGTCGTCAATGACTTCATTTATCGCTACCAAGTCAACTTCTATCCACCTCGAGCTTCGCAGACAAAGCAGACAAAACAAGACTCTCCTCGGTAAGCGATGATCAGGCATGTTGTACGTGACCAAGGTAGCACAACTTACTCGATGCCATCTTTCGCTTTAAGTAGCTGTCTTGTTTGTCACTGTCTAGTACTCGCCTACGCATATCATCTTTGCGAATACCCTGGTGCCATCCGACATCAGCAATGCTTAGCAGACAGCAATGATCAAAGACTTGGAGGTGGCTCAGATCGTAGGGGCCAAGTCTCACTCCCATCGAGCAGGACAGCCCTCACTGTGGCCTTGTATACACCGGGTTTCAGACGTATGGAAACCTTTTTCACACGTTACAAATGTCGCAGATTCAGAAAAGCAGTTCCGACTTTTGCAACACGCGAACTGACCACAGTCGCTATTCACGTATCGTTGCTGATACAGCTGCGAAGGTAAGTGAACTGATAAGCTACCTTGAGTTCCTCGCTATCTAGGGTCAAGGGATCATCAAGTAGCTGGTGGCCCTGTAGCAACAGTTTGAAAATGCGAAGCGCATACCAAATATTGGGACCATTCTAGTGCGGCTATACAGGGTTGATTGCGCCATCCCAACATCGTTAAACAGAAAGACGATATCCTCCGCATAATCAGGATCAACAAGCCTTTTAGCAGGCAGCACCACAGCGTCTTCATCGTGATAATCCGCAAGGGAACTCTTCGTGATGTAGTCCACGACGAAATTGAACAAAAATGGGGAAATTGGACAACCCTGAAGAACATCACTTGTCGAAAAGCTATCCGATAGCTCACCCTAGACCCTGACGCAGTCTGTAGTGTTTGAATACATGGCAGGTAAAATGTTCGCATATTTTATGGAAATGCCTTTTCGCGCAAGTATTTCGAACTGAATGCATCGATCGGCTGAATCGAACGCCCTTTTGAAATCGAGGAACACAGCTATTCTCTGCCTGCGGTATGCGTGGCGTTGCTCTAGCGCCGGCCGCAAAGTGAATATGTGGTCTATACAGTCACGTCCTTGACGAAAGTTTGCCTGCTTTCCCATAATCCGGGATTGTCGTTCCGCAGTGATGCGACGAACGAGAATCAAGGCCGGTACTTTTGTCACAATTGGCATCAGGTTGATATCCCTGTGGTTAACACGCTCGATGCGACTGCCCTTCTTGTATATTGCCATGCTCGATTCACTCCTGTTAGTCTAGACGGTTTCCTCCTTCCATGCATGTTCGAACAGTGAGGTCAGTGCTTTGCAGAGGATCTCACCTTCATTCTTAAATACTGTCGGTGGAAAGGAATCCGAACCAGCAGCACGGAAACGATTGATGGCTGTGACCGCATTTCGCACCTCGGCCTCCGACGGCGTCTCTAAACTAACCGTACATGGCTCGTCCTGCATCACCTGAGTAGAAAGAGGTCCAGAAGTAAGGGGACAACTGAACTGAGCATGAGAAGGTTCCGTCCAACGAGCCCTACTGCGCTCCTTATTGTGAATCAGAGCACCCGCGCTGTCTGATCATCTCACTAGCGCCTGGTTTCCTGTGACCAACGGTGTGGATCAGCTAGAAGAGCTTACGGTAGTTGCCTACTGCTCCCGCCTCCTCCTTTTCTTGAATCCTACTGGTCCAGCAGGCCTCTTTGTCAGCGCCAGGCTCCGTTTTACTTTGCGCCTAATAGTCCTGGTCACATTATGCTCAGGTGTATCATGGAGTTTGCTTCTGGATTTTAACAGGTTCACCGACCTCTCGGATGTCCAGTGACTGGTGCGGTAACGATTGATAGTACCACTAGCAAATGCTTCTGCGTTGTGTATGGTGACCGAGATCCTATTTCACTGAAGCTCAGTATCAAAAAACTAGGGGGTGAAACTTCGGTACGTAGTGCAGTTTGCTCGGCTTTCCTGACGAAGGTTTGAGATAATTTCTTACTTGCTGATCGAGAGAGACGCTTGGTGCGCCTGCCGGTAAAATTCATGAAAAACGGTAGGGTACCAAGACGTGATCAGAGTCGACGCAAGTGCTCCAGAACGCCACTTGTAACATGGCAGTGTGATCTATTTGGGTCCATCGCTGACTAGCTACCGGATGACTCCAAGTGGCATTTCGACGCCCAGTGTGTCTGAAAGCAGTGCTATTAAGAGACAGTTGGTGCTCCGCACACTGTTGCAAAAGACGCTCACCGTTATCTTTACGGTGAGTTAAGCCCATATTTATCATCTAGCTGAGTTTCTGAAGAGCTCAGACGCCCTGATTGTGTATTCATATCCCCTGCAAGTATTATGATATCTGAAGTCGTAGCGCTGCAATGTAGCGTGTTATGTTCATGGTAGAATGTCCTTGGCAGCATCGAAACTGCAGTCGGTGGGACCGTAAACGGAACTCACAAACAAACAGCGTCTTGTACTACTTCGTGTATCAATGCTGATCGATGTAGTCAAACGGGCGGTACACAAACGGCTTTTCACCGGAATCCAATCAACCAACGATGACTCAGCCTTGGAGCTGAGAATGAAACCTACCTCAGCTTGACCGGTGAGTGGTGCATCAGCGCCTCCGGATGCGTGCGACCAATAGCAAATGACAATCCGGGCGCAGTTAATTCAACAACTTCATTAAGGTCATTTCTCTTAGTTTCAGATGTGCAACGCACTTCCACGCCAATTGTATCCAACGCGCGTGCGACTGCAGCCTGTCGACCTATTTATCTTGGATTGCGAACGTTGAACTCCGCCAGGAAAACGGGACCGCATGGTCTTATGACAAGACGTTAGCGATTCGCGTCCAGTGATTATTGCGAGAAGGTAGCTGCAGATTGTTCGACTCCAGTGACATTATGTATGCTATCAATTAAGGTGAGAGTTATAGAAGGAAGGTGAGCCGAAAGATTCAACGAATGGGACAGGAATCGATGTTGTTTACATGGATTTTTCGAAAGCCTTCGTCCACGTAAATCATCGCATCCTACTCCACAAACTACAACATCGGAGTTCCAACTATAGGTTGGAGCGGTAACTTTCTCCGCGAATGGCAATTGGAGATTAGGGTCCGAACATTATTGCCCAACCCGGTTCGAGCGAACTGTGTCGTACCCCAGCGTTCGGTACTAGGGCCTCGCAAGTTCTTAGTTTTTATTACTGACCTAGCTGGAATTATCACCCTGGAAAGTTTACTCTTCGCAGTAGACGAGAAATCTAGGGGATAAACGACCACAACATTCTCCAAGTCGACCTCTATGAGGCCCGGCATTGTTCGTTGCTAAGCGCATTGCCATTCAGTGTGGACAAGTGCTGCGTTATCCACATCCGTCATCGACACGTCTACATCTACGGGTTTGGGGCGCAAGATTTGAAGACCACCTCTCGAGAACTCAACCTCGGTGTAATGATACAGGACGATCTCGGTTGCTCAAGACAGTCAAAGTCCACTTTAAAACATGGCAACTAGCATGTTGGTCTCTTGTGGATTGTATTCGGAAGTCAGGATTCATCCATCTCTCTGATGCTCACTGTCTATGTGTGCCCCCCTTACGTGGAGTACGCAATCCAGGCTTGGCACACTTGGCTAAAGCGTGACCTCACGGCGCTCGAGACACACCAACGGAGAGCGACGGAAAATGTCAAGGCATTGCACAACCTCATGTATCAGCAAAGACTGAAGATACTCGGAGTGTTCAGTGGACGCTACCAGCGACTACGTAGAGACCCCATATTAGTATGGCGAATACTGAGCGGCCCCAGTCATGTATGCCGCCGGCTTTTGGTACTCAGGCAATTGCCTGAAATTGAGTCAATAATACAGTCGAAGACATTGCTTCTCCCTCTGGGCCTGTCAACCCTGGAAAGGTCTTTCGAATTCATTTGTCTGTGCCCCCATTTTAGTCCTTTTCAAAAGATACGCTTTGATATCGTATTGAGCCCGCAACACTGTTACTTGAACAGCTGTTCTGGAATGTACTCACGCACGTGACTTTGCAGACGAGTGAACAATCCGATCGTTATTTGCTATTAGCAATAACCATACCAACGGCTTATTCCGTTTTTAATGGTATCATCTAACTCCCACAACTCCATTCCCTTTTGACTCCGTTGATCGACCTGCTTTATAGCGTTGCTTACTAAAGAACGGGGTGCCAGAGAAATATACCACCATCTTACGAACACTTTACCTTCATACATACGGCAGAGTGAGGGTCTATGGCAAGCTTTTCTCGCAATTCGCTGTCAATAGCGGTGGGCGACGGCTGCCCTATGTCCCCATTCCTCTTCAACTTCGCAATCGAAGACGTTCTGTCTAATGCACTAGAAGGTTTCCAACATTTGGCCTACAGCTTCTACGGGGTGAGCGCGCGACCGACTTAGATTATGCTGATAATATCGCCTTACTTGGTGACGATCCTCAGAATATGCAACTCATTCTGGATCGTTTGACAGTTGAAGCATTTAAATATGGCATGAGCTTCGCCCTATCAAAGTGTAAAGTACTGCTCAAGGATTGGCTTTCACCTGCTCCCGTACTCACTCTCGAAGGTGCACAACTTGAACAGGTAGATAGTTTCGTCTTCCTCGGGAGCTGTTTCTGCCGATGGCACTATCAACAAATAAGTTTCTCTTCGTATCGCTAAAGCTCCATCTGCATTTGTCAATCTGAGACACTTGTGGCGTTGTTGCGACGTCTCATTCTTACTAAAGGGCGACGTTTACAGCGCATCAGTTCGCTCAGTATTGTTGTATGGGTGCGAGTCCTGGTCGATTCGCGTGGAAGACATGCGTCGTCTTTCGGCCTTCGATACCGGTTGCTTGAGGAGGATCGCTCGTGCTTCGTGGCAACATCGAGTTACTAGTAATGACGTCCGACGTCGCATCTTGGGGAATGCATTTCCTTCAACAAACTGGTTTTGTTGCGCCAGTTAAGATGGCTCGGTCACATCCTACGCATGTCACCTGAGCGTCTACCGCGTCGCACTCTATGCGGTCGTCAAGGGCCTGGCTGGAGCCGACCACGTGGTGGTCAGCCTTCCACTTGGCGGCAGCACATGAAATCGCTGACGTCGTGTCTAGCCGCTGTTGGATCCGTACGTCTTCCAGTATTGGGACCCCAAAATGAGGAGTGCCAATGGCTTAGCACTCTTGAAGACATTGACCGCAACCGGAATCAGTTGAAGAATTGTGTACAGTATTGTACTGATTCACATGTTTAATACTACAAACACTGAAAATGACAAAAAAAGAAAAATCGGCGTGTGAAAAACAAACTAAAAATATTTTGTTCTACTTTTTGTCAAAATGTTCCATTCTTCCTGCGGCATATTAGCTGAAGTGTGTTGCTCACCTTCAACTAGCATGCCACGATGATTATGACGCGATGTCTATTGCTTATACGCTGATCTCCATGGTTTTATATTGGCTCTGTGTCTAGTTGATAGACTGTTGAGATTACTACTACTGCTACTACTACTACTACTACTAATATTCCCTTGTGGCGTTATATTATCGCTTCACCGCTACGAATTTTGCATGGTTCACTTATGTAGTAATCGAATTTGTAATTCCTTCTATTCCAACCCATAAGCTATGTTAAGCCTATGCTTTTTTACCCGTCATAAACCACTGTTCTGGTGCGTCTTCAAAGCAACCACACCCAATGTTGTAGCAATCTTCCTCTGCCCCTAGAACTGATAATTGTGAACTCATCTGAACGGCATCCATTCACATCCGAGGTACATTTTATCAAATCATCGCCAGTGGTATTGGTGTGGCATCAGTTGCAGCATCATAGCGGGCGCTCGTACGAACATATTTTTCATCAGAGATAGTATTTCTTAAATATGCGAGCCTCAGCCCCCTCAGACGAGTGTCGTTTTGTGAACGATTTGTGATTTTGGATGGTTCTTTTTGTGCCCTTCTTGGTGAGCAGCTAGTACCCATTTATTTCACATATTAGGATAGCGCTTTTCTTGTGTGCGACGTTCCCATATCTACCCTAAACTGTGGTTTCTATTGCTTGGTAGGAGTCAGAAGATGTTCACTTTTCTTTAGTATTGTTTTCCGCTAAAACGTGCGTGTCAGCAGTTAGACCAACTAGTAAAATAAATAAGGTTAAACGAATTTCTTCACACTCCAGTCGATATCACTTCCTTGCGAATTTTGACTTTTCATATGCTAGCAAACCTTTCGCCGACCTAGCCTATTCATGTCAAACTTTTTCTCATGTATCGTAAATGTTCGCTCATCCCTCACATGTAAATGTACAAAGTACTTACCTCAGGAATTTCAAACTGAGTTGGCTGACGCGCCATTTGCCTACCCAAATCGACCATTTGGCAGCTTGCTGGCACATCGTTAATCCACACACCTTCCATCAGTTGCCCGCTGTTGAGGAAGAAATACTTGCCTCTACCGTTCTTCGCATCGTTCACCCATTTCCCTTCGAATCTATTCTCATTAGCTGTGGAGGGGGTTAAAATTGGCACAGTTACTTACGTAGTCGTAGCATTCCGTCTCCGTTGCGTTTATCATTTGCCCATTGACCTTCATAGATGCTTCCGTCCGCGTAGTACATTCTGCCCCATCCGCACCGTTTGTCTGCAGCCCACTCACCTTCGTAAATTTCATTTTCCGAGTACCAATTCTGACCATATCCCTAATTTGGTTTTTAGTACTCTGCCGACACTGCTCACATGACGTTTGTCGTTTTTCCATTCGCCAGAGTACACTTTAACTTGGCGTCCGGTGCTACTCAACACGCTCAATACACCAGATCCATTTCTCATATCATTTTCCCAGTCTCCTTCATACAACACTCCCATTTTTTTCCACTTGTATGTTCCCCGACCTAAGTTACTGTTTATATGAGTTGACCAAGGGGCTTACCATGGCGTTTGTTGTTCTTCCATTCTCCTGTATAGCAATCCCCATTCACTTGATACACCGTATGCCGAAGTCCCTCTTTATTGGCTTTGGCATTAGCCACGTCCCACTTCGATACTTTTTTCATTGTTCGTAATAGCATGTTACATCAATGACCATGTGATTCGATCACATACAAGATTTGGAGGTAATCTCGATTGAACCGTGTTCACCGTAATTAATAAAATGCAGCTTTCCACTTCTGAATGTCGAAGTTGATTGCTTCTGAAGAATTCTAAAATGCGAACGCGTAAATCGTAACCTGACGTTACTATCCAAGAACAACTGCCACAATTCTGAACGGACACGCACACACATACAGAAACGACAGCTCACAAAGGAAACACAACTCAGATCACGGACAAACACATATTCAGCTCGCAATCACTTTAACGGCACCAAGGCAGAAGTAAAAAACTCTGAACGTGACCTTCTATGACGCCGAGTCAAACGACAACTAATGAAACACTCGTGTGCATTTGTAGGTCTTCCAACGGTTTTGTAAGCTTGGCCTTTCACAGTCCTGCTGTTAGGTGTGTACGGTTTTGCTCATGTTGTTTAGAAACCACAGTGGCTGTTAATAATAAATCTACACTTTCATTGATTCCAATACCCTTTTTGGAAATATAACGTTTATACTGAATACTGCATTATAGAGCAAGTAAAAATGAATTCTGTACACATCTTTCGAAATATGGTGAAAACGTTATAAAAGTTGTCAGCCGTGAAATTTAAAATATCTGACTCACGATATTGCAGGACTCACAAATGTGATATGTCGTCCTAAGTGTGCAATCGTTCTCTGAATCGAATAGTGGTAAAATATAAATCTAACAACGTTTTGAACTCCTGCGCAGATGTTGCCTCCATCACTTGTTCAGGTAAACTGTTCCAAATATTTACCACTTTCCTTTCGAAGCACAGTGGGTGTGGAACACGTTTCACATCCGGCACGACAAGTTTGTATCTGTGTCCGCGTGTGCTGCATGGCCCTCGTAAGTGCGCCATTGGCATTAGCATTGGGAAGTCACCGAGATGTAGAATACGGCAAGTCATAATGAGGTCGATTCGCACCCGACAGTAGGACAAGGTGTAGAGTCCTAGTTTCTCGCACCGGTCTTCATACCCCAAGCAACGTAAACTCGGCATGAGGCATATAGGAACGTGTTGGATCCGTTCGATCTTTTATGCCTCGCCTCGGATAATTGGAAAGTAGGCGGGCGAACCCTACTCTAGCATTGGTCTAATGATGGAAGAGAAGAGGCGAGTGGCAACCTCTTCAGACCATGTGCCGAAGCTACGTTTGAGCGCCCAAAGCATGCGCAGTCCGTTACGATATAGCCTGTTCGTGTTATCCAGGGACTTCAAATCGTAGCGTGTGAGTACACCTAGGTCCTTCACGGAGGGTGTGGGATATAGCGGTTGGCCGTCAAGAGTGTAGGTTCGGCAGTCAGCACCCTTCCCCAGACTCATAACTACAGACTTGGCTGGGTTGACCGGGAGATGTACGTCTGCAGACCATGTGGATAGGTGATTAAGGTCTTGCTGAAGTAGGTCACAGTCATCGGGAGTGTCGATTTCTCTCCAAATCTTCAGGTCGTCCGCAAACAAGGCACACGGCGACCGGAGAAGTTGCGGTAGATCGTTGATGTGGATCAGGAACAGAGTGGGTCCCAGCACAGTGCCTTGAGGCACGCCACTTGGAGAGGGGTACCAGTCAGTTAGATGGTCGTCGACCTGTACCCTCCACTTTCCTCCAGCAAGAAAGTCACAGATCCGCCGGTGCAGTGAGCCACCGACACCACACATCCTGAGTTTGTGAAGGAGAACCTCATGGCTGACCTTGTCGAACGCTTCACTGAAATCGATGAATATCACGTCTACAGACTTCCCCTTGCTTATTGCCTTCAACCACTCATGCCTCGTCACAAGCAGGTTCGTAATGCATGAGCGACCTTGCATAAAACCGTGCTGTGCTGGCGTCAGGACCTCGTTTGACTGTAGCAACTGCAGCAATCCCTTCTTCACCATTTTCTCAGCAACTTTTGCTAAAATAGGTGTCAGACAAATTGGCCTGTAGTTGTCTACTTTTGCTAGGGTCGCCGCCTTCCGGAATAGGCTTCACGTACGCAAGGGAATCTATGGTGTCTGTCTGTGCTAGCCTGTATACGATTGTTTGAGTAGTTTGGCACACATTCGTGCCACTCCACTTCGAATCACGCCCCCTTTTTTGCCTTGCTGCCGATTCGAATAGGATCCCATAGCCAGCCTGCCGTATCGGTGTCCTCATAGCCGTAGCCCAGTTCCTGTACATAGGCAGAGTTGTGATTGGTTGCCCACGCGTCAGTTCTAGACGCGATCTTAATATTCGTCACGACACATGAACTGAAACCCATGTGTTACTCAACTTGTAAGCAGTACAATCACAGTTTCTGATTGACTCCCTAGTAACTGGTTCGTGCGAATAGCAATGTAACGCATTTCGTCGGAGACCTTGGACTGCTCACGCTAACGTAATTGGTACTTTATCTTCATAATTACAAGGACGAACAATATTTCGACTAGATAACCTGAATTCAGCCACTTCACGTATTCTCGCCAGCCGTCTACATACAATTGGTAGAATGGCTAAGTTGCATACAGAGACATTCAAGGTGTAACGTCATTGGATACTCGGAACCGATCAAGGTTCACCTAATACTGACCGGCATTCCGCATAGACTAATGTGGCTACCCTTCTTCCCAAAGCAAGACAAGACTGGAGACGCAGTAGGTCTGTTTAGACAAAGGGGGTTTCAGCTATCTAACTGCCGAAATCTCAGGCGAACTGAAGCAAGCGTGCGGCGCTCTGTTGGTTGATTATCCTGAATGATTCACGTGCGTTTTCACACATGGGTCAGTCAAGTATGTGTCGAGCAGTTGAACTGGTTGGTAGTTTCAGACCATTCACGACTACCTTTCGCGGCTTATGCTCTGAAACCGTTGTAGACAGTCTCGCGAGTACAGCGACTCAGGTAAATGCATGAGGCGGTAACTCGTGAGTCCTTTTTGTCCAGGTTAGATTTAAACAGCAATTTTCTAACTTGGTGCAAAGCCACAAGCACAGCAGCGTAGTAGCACCTTTTTATAGGTTGATGGAGACGATAACGGAATCTCCTGTCAATTTAGATTTTTTGAATGCTAGCATAATGAACACATTTTCCTAAGCACGTCCGTCACCCGTTCGTTCCTGGCTTTCCTGTTGGCGTTTAAGTGCCGTGCTACGAACTTCTTCAGATATCCTTTTCTTCAGAACAGATCTGGTGAGCTCTGGCAAAACTGGTACGAACTAGAGCCCGTTTGTAATTCACGGACCAGATACCCTTAAAGTTAGGATACTGTCTTGTCCACGTAGGTTTATGGTACACAGCTCGAATGAGTGTAGCATTTGGGCTTATTTCTGGGTTAACATCCAAAGTATAGAAGATACCGGAAGATTCGTTTCCAGCCGTGAATTCTATCTCGGGATGGCAGTTGTATAGAGCACAAAATAGGTATTCTGCTTGTTCGGCGACCTTAACTCCGTGATCTATACTCGTATTATAACATTGTTTCAGCGTAAGCCGCAAACTTGCCCTCGGCTTGACGGTTCGTATCATTGCCCTGTTGTACAGGCAGCGTATCAACGTTTTCCCAGTCGGTCCTGGCTACACACATACTAGATCCTTTTGTGTCGTGCTTTTTTATTTAACCAGTTGCGCTCCATATGCTCTGCACACTCTAGTGATGGGGGCAATGATTTGAAGCGAGAGAGTAACAAACCCCATGCTTCGAGCCCTCAACTTCTGAATAGTCTTAGTGTGGATTTCATCACCCATAATACGTTATGCCAATCTTGCTAAGCTTCTGAAAATGAGGCAGATTAGTTCGGTAAGCATGTGCACTCTACCAACCTCTGCATGCCGAAAGAGTCGTTGCTGTTGACGAGGCCCATTCATAAGCTCTCAAGCCGTTATCACAGGCCATTCAGTTTTATGAGATAAACTGTCCAGATTCCGTCTATTTTAGTGGTCTTATTCACTTTGTCTTGCGTTTCAACTCACCATGGACAACTTAGCATCGATTTTTTGACTGGAATGTTTTTCAGCTACTGAGTATCACCAGTACGCCGACGATTTTCTGTCATAGTGTGGCACAAACGAACCGGCAAGAAAGCACAATCTTTGTTCCACACCACCACAGTTAACCAAGCTGACATACGCGCGCGCATTTATCTGTCATGTTCCCGTCCCACGATGCTACATACGTGGGGAATTACTACATGTCACATTGGTACATCGTTTCTCCTAAACTTTTTGGCTTTTAGTGCCTGCCTGACCCCGTAGCTTTGCTTCCGTAACTAGCATTCTGACCAACTTGGGGTTGTTCTAAGACTCATAATTTGCTTGATCGCGGTTGCGTTATTTCTATCGCAATGCGGCTGGACCTTACCGTGGTGCGATATTTTGCATGTCTCAGAGGTCCATTGAGCTATGCTGAGTGGTGTACTTTTACACCTTCAAAGCCACACACTAGATTTGTCAATGGTAAGAGGCCAGACAAACTCAGCCTTCTAGTCCTCCAGGTTGGGCGTTGGAATGATGGCGGCTTCTTATTCCTTAAAACAGATTCCTTATAGCCAACCGCCAAACCCGCTGTTTTGCTGTCAGGATTTGAACAAAAGGCTTTGGTTGAGAACCCTAATCGTTCTCCTGTCTAGGCCTGGGCAACATTACAGTATCTTGCCCAAGCAATACTATAAATTTTCTTCAGTTTCTTGATGCCCTGACCGTCACAGAGGATAGTAAACGGCTCCCTATCTGCTACATCGAACAGAGTGGATAGGGGTTTGGATGCTTCTGCTCAAGCCTCCCCGTCTTTGCGATAAATCGGAATACTTGTAGCTCGGGTTCACTGTTTTGGTTTTGGTTTGTTCTCCTAGCTGAAGAATTGTGCTGCTGGACGGGTCAGAATTCATTACATAAGGCAGGAAGCAACGGTGGCCGAAGAACAAACCACCGATGGTCACATGATATGAAGCGAAGAGGCCACTTTCAAACGTCACTTGCCCATCGATCAAGAGCC